GATTTTCAAATTTTCATCAGAACCTAATCCATCATCCTAATCCCTTAGCACAATCAGTGGGTGGTCATAGAAATGAGTATATAGATCTTTTCTCATTTTTTTAATATCTCAGGTAAATTATTAATAAACAAGTATTGTTTATAGAGTTTTCAAAAGCCTGAATTAAAAAAATAGGAACTCCAGTCTTTGTAAAGTATATAGCTACATCCGTCTTCCTTTGTCTGAATCTATTTACCATATCGAATGTGGTAAGTACAACTTCCTCAATGGTTCATGTGTAATTTATGGGTTTGTTTGATTAATATGATTGACTAATTTTTTATTTTTAGCTGACTTTGAGAGATTTTTGAGGATCATTCGCCAACATAATAGCGATTTGTTGTTTGAAAACAATGCTCTTAATTTTGTACATTATTGGTGAATCACAGGAAACTGAGGAAAGTAGTTACTACTAATTTTTATAGCGTGAGTAATTAGTAGAAGGAATTTTATGTAACTAAATGTTTATAATGCATGTTTTATTTTTAAATAGATGATAGGGTAAGTTTATGAATAGCTTTAATGTATAGTAAGTTATTATTTAAATATCAAAAAATCCATTTTTATTATTCGTATTTGATAATAATTATATGTAATTCAAAATATTGAGATAGGCTAATTTTTGACATATATACATGTAAATTATTGTTCATTTATTTAACATAAATTTCAATCACTTAATATACATGGAGTAAATATATAACCTGCATGGAGAATATCTTTATTAATTACGTTATACTCATCAAGAGGATTCATAAAAGAACTCAAAGATAAATTGATCTTCCTTATATGTTGAGTGTTTGAAGATTCATATACTTCAAGGTTCTTTATTTGGCAACTCTTTAAACATTGTTTTAGCAAGATGTGCTGGCTTGTGTGTGCAGATTATAACTACTGCTTCTGCAGCAAAGAACCGGCAACGAATTATTTACTCAGATATTATTATATTATATAATTATATGTTAATCAATAACTGTAGTTTTGGCCTAAAAATTTGGATTTTAAAGCAGATGAGCAAAATAGCTTTAGTTTAACTTACCAGTTTTTTTTAGCTCTTATCCTTGTGAAACCTACATTTTTCTATGTTCGACTTTAAATTATAAGCTGTTGATGACTTATAAATAATTCAGAATTTATAGAAGGATATAAATAGTTCTTTCTAATTTATTTTTAAACATATTATTGAAGGATAAAATGTAATATAAAAATAGGAAAAAGCTACCTATATGTAAATATATTTAAATAAATTTTATGATTATTAGATATTCCTCGGATATATTATCCAGTAATTAATAATCAAAAATCTCAAACAGTTATATTTATATTATGTGCATCTACACTTCCTTTAAAAGTCTTAAAAAAATCTTCGATCAACAACTACCCTGGAATAACCATATTTCCCAAATAAGCTAAATATCCTCAGCTGTATTCAAATAGTTTCTGAGATTCCGTGATTCAATATCCATCAAAATCCGTCAACTCCTTGTTTAGTTTTCCTCAAATTTGATTACGACTGCCTTGTATACTGTGGACTGCCTGATATGCATGGTATCAGACTATTGAATTATATCATTAGATTTAACTTCGGAGTCCCCAACGTCCCCAAACACTCCCTAACGTCTCTAGTAGGTGTGCCGAGTTGAAGTCGCTTTATCAAGGTTTCCGGCGTCAATAATTCCTTGAAGTTTACCTTTACCGATCCTTGATTTGTTCGCCCCTTAATTTCTATTTACACTTTAAACGAGAGATTCCAACCCTAAAAACTTTATGCTCCTTCTGATAGAGCTCCTTCCTTCAAAAAATTTATAACCATGTGTGCTACAGTTATTCTGTAATTCCTCTCCCACATTCATACGCAAACCACCATCTCTAACCGACTACCATCTCTAACGACTTTAAACACCAACTATTTTTTCATCTCCTTAACAATCAATCTTTGGAATATATTAAGAATAATGTTTTGGGATATTAGTGGTACCTATCAATTATTAAACGTACCAACTTTGTTTATCTATTATTCATTATCTTTAGTTGTTTACTGCAGGACAAATGGCAGTGCAATTGAACATCTTCATTATTGTTACTGGATTCAGTATCTCAGAATAAAATATACTTTATTTTTTCTTTTCTAATTTTTTATCAAACATTATAAATATCATGATTTCAAAAACGGTTACACTCGTGGGTATATTTTTGAAGCAATTACTTTTTTTTAATCATATAGAAGTTGCCAGTTACTATAAAAATATTTATTTTATTTTCAGAATCGCTAAGTTTTCAGCAACCTTTACGATTTACCATAGTACCAGTTTAAGTCCGACGATAGAAAAACTCTAAACATGATACTGTGTCAAGTTAAGAAGCCTTGATTATTAATTACCTGAATACAAAAATACAGGTATCTTTAAACTGATGTATCGTACATTAATTTTCTTGATTAACATAACCAATGAATCTTATCCTTGAGATAAATGCACCACATCCGATTCCCGGTAAATGTGATACAACTGTACATTATGTCTTAGCCTATACCGATTATCAACTTTTACAGGGACAAAGATCCTTCTCAGGATTTTTCCCTTGAAAACCTGCAACCTGATGGCATCTCTTCGTGATAATGGCCTTCTCATTATCGTATCTAAACATGAATAATAGAGGATATAAAGTTAATCCACAAAACAAATACAAAAACACTGCAAATTATCACACATTTATTATTTCCAAACAATTTAAACTCAAAACAGTACTTTCCATAAAACATTAAGGAAACTAAATAAAAAAGGATTCCTATCATTGGTCTATGTCATTATTTTTTCATAATTTGCTTTAAAAAATTGACAACATTGGTCACAACTTTAGTAGGTGTACAACTTTCAAAAAATCAAAAACCAAAACAAAATATATAAGCTTTGCATTAGAACATACAAAACATCAATAACGCCATATCTTGGCTCCAAATTGTTCAATTTCTACGATTTTTTTTCTTCATTATTGTTTTTTTTTAGGAATTGGTTGTTTTTTAGGAAACACCTGATTATAAAACTTACTTGTTTTAATGGACACGAGGAAGAATTCCAAGCCGCCTGTTGTATAGATTGTGTTAATGATTAGACTGCGTCCTCGACCTCATCTGGGGGCCGCAAGTACGTGTCCAATGAGATAGATTCTACTAAAGTATCCCGCAAGTTTTTCCTATTAATATGACCTGGTATAAGTGTCGGTTGTGGAGATCTCAGAATTGGCTCAACATAGACCGTAAGCAGTAAAGGAGAGTGAGCAGATGGAAGGTCAACCAAATTTTCAATGTGGAGGTGCAGCTGATTGAGCCCATTACTGATTAATAAATATCGGGTATTCTACAAAGATCACTGGGCAAGTGTGTTAGTGAAGGAGGAGAAACATGATTCATTTAAATTAAAAAATCATTTCACTTAACGTGGAATAAATTTACAATGATTTTTAAAAATCGAAGAGAAGGATGGTTGGGGTGATCAGTGAAATAAAAAATAGCAAAAATAAATAATATTTAATTTTACGTTTTGGCTCGAAGTTCAGGCCTTCATCAGGGCTAAGAAAAGAACCAGATAACAATAGATATGAGAAACATAAACAATGTAGGTAGAAAAACTTGAAGTAAAATGAAGTAGAAAAGCGAACATTAAAGTAAAATAAAGTAGGTAGAATAATAACAATAACAGAGAAATAAGAAATAAATAATAATAACAGCTAAAAATTATGTGGCTTATTTCTTATTTCTCTGTTATTGTTATTATTCTCCCTACTTCATTTTAATTTAATGTTCGCTTATCTACTTCATTTTGCTTTAAGTTTTTCTACCTACATTGTTTATGTTTCTCATACCTATTGTTATCTTGTTCTTTTCTCAGCCCTGATGAAGACCTGACTTTCGGGCCGAAATGTCGGCAAATGTAAAAATAAATATTATTATTAAATAGGCTAAATAGTGGCAAAACTATTTTATTAAAAGCCAACGTTTCGACCCGACTTTGCAGGTCTTGACTGAACTAAAACTGGAGTTCTAAGTAAAACTCCTAGCTGAACACACCTCCCTGAAGAAGACCTGCAAAGTCGGGTCGAAACGTTGAATTTTAATAAAATAGTTTTGCCACTATTTAGCCTAAATATTATTATTTATTTTTGCAATTTTTTAATTGACTGATCCCCCAACCATCCTTCTATTCAATTATTCACTACAGTAAACCATCAACACAAAATTTTATAAAGCCTTTGAACGATAAAAGATGCAATAACCAATAAAATCATTTTATACAGAGATGTTTTTATTTAGTGATTCATCAAGAAACAACTTTGATAAGCATAATGTACTCCAAAATAGTAAAAAGAGTGTATTGGTATGATGATGGGCTGGTAAGTCCTGAACATCGTTTGTAAAAATACATAACTAGCAAGCTCTTCCGATTTCAGATCACGTAATAGTTTCCTGACCTATTAAATCCTTGTATAATGACTGCCTGGTGAGGAAGACTGGAATAGTCCAGTGGATAGCCACCTCTTTGATATCAACACTAACGTTCCTACAGAAGAATGAAGAATTAAGTCGATTGTAAAATTTTAATTGGAAAGAGTTAAGAAGGAACTTTGAGTCGTTAATTTTCAATAAGTTGTCAACTGTAAGTTCTTAAAAGTGTATAGGAAACTTATAATTTAATTTAAACAATCGTGTATCGTTTGAATTCGTGAAAACTTTGTCCGATTAAAAAAAAAATTCTCTTCAAAGCAATTATATATTCAATAATTGGCACAGTTTGGAATAGTTTGTTATTTCTTCTGAGAATTTCCTTGAGAGTGTGTTTACAGGCTTAAACCTTTTTTCATTTAAAATGTTTGGGCTTCGTGTAGGAGATATTGTCCATCTGCTTGAAAATACTTTTATTTATTCTGAAAATGGCAAAACGTTCAAGAAATTTTTAAATGTATTTATGGGTATTTATTCCATCGCGTCTCTATTTGTCTTCGTTGGGGCAGCAATAGAAGCCGGAATCAAGAAGTGTATGGAACAAACCGCCTTCTACATCGTTATAGGCATCATAACTAGCGCCCAGCAGTTCTATCTAATATGTAATCAGGATCAGGTGAAAAAGATCATCGACATCTTGAAGGGGTACCAAGAACGACACGAAGGAAAATGGCAGGCGGATATGTTCGAAGGGGAATCTCTCAGGGTATGGAAAGTGTTAAGGTACTACAATATGGTGATGGGTTCGTACAACATATTCTACTTCAGTCTCCCATTCGTGGTGGATTTAGTCGGCGGTCTCATCAATCCCGATTTTCCGGTGGTGAGATTTCCTCTCCCCACCCAACAGTACGTTGAAGATTACGAACCTCGAAGCTGGGGAAACGTGTTGTACTCTCTGATAGGCATCACCTCAGGAATACTCACTATCGAGATGAACATAGGCATAGAGGCATTGATATACATATCCATAATATATACCAAGACAGAGCTGAATATGATTAAGAAAAAATTGGTGATAATCAAGGAGGTGATGGAACGAAAGGGGGACAACTACCGTGTGGAGGTTGAGAGGTTGATGAAGGATGTGACGAGGCACCACCAGAGCACACTAGAGTAAATATAAAATAAATTAGAGCGATTGCGTAATATTTCGTGATTATAAATTTCTTCATTGAATTAATTTTATTTGTTTGACTCAACATTTTCATTTAATTATATGTAAGATTTAAGCTGAATCGAGCTAGCAGGAGACCTATCAAACTTTTTTACTGTTTTTTAAAACAACATAGTAAGTATGTAATTATTAAAGATTTGAAGTGTTTCCTAGCAAAGTTATTTTAGAACCGGAAATATTTTGTTGTTTATACTTTCCTACTGTTACCTAGGTAAGGAAAGTATTGCGATCCGGTCAAATTTCCGATGTGTAGTTTTCAACTGAACTTAACGTTTCTAAGCCCACTGAGCCCGAAAAAGGAATTTTAAACCACTGGTCTGTCTTTCTGTGTCAAGATTATCTTAGGCACGATTATATCGATTGTTTTTTCTTCTTTTTTCATTTTGTAGGGTATTGACTAGAGATGCCTGAAAAACAAAGTGGGCGTTCTCTGAGCAATATTGCTGCACAATATGGTAAAAAAATGTGTTTCTATATACTGCAGGGAAAAAACGGCTCTAACGATTGCAAGAAATTTTCTTAAAATGTTTTACATAAACTCCTTTTAATTTTTGTACATAAAGTTAATTCTCGAGAGAATTAAAAAAAAAGTTATAGAGAAAACAAAAATATTTTAGGCTTAACTCGCAAAGTACCCATTATATGGTAAAATGGAGGAAGGAAATGGTCGGGGTGGATGTCATGAATAGACTAAAGTAGTTTTGCCACTAGTTTAGTCTATTTATGACCCCGGACCATCTCCTTCCTCTAAAATACAACGGTCAACTATTAAATATTCTATAGGGTAAAATGTATGTAAAATCTTTTAAAAGGTAATTAAATTAAATACAAAACAAAAACAAAACTTCAACGGTATCGAACTATTAATAGCAAAGATATCAAAGCTTTTCTGTTTTCTACCCATGTTTTATTTTGTTACATCTCTACTAATAGAAGGTATAGTCCACTAAATCCAGGAATTGACCCAAAAAAAAAAAAAAAATACAAACAATAAAGAGGAAACTTAGTTAAAAGTTACTATAAACGATGGTAATGAACAATTTGTGACAAGTTTATTTTTTGGATATTGGTGTTTCGAATGTTTTTTCCTTTTTTTACTGAAATAATAAGGAAAGTATTACTTTCTAGTCAAATTTCGTGCGGTTCCCAATGAATTTGTACGTTTCAGAGCCCCCTGTGTCCGAAAAACATATTATCAATTGCTTTCGAAAAATCAAAACCAAAACAAAGGATATCAGTTTTGCAGTAAAACATGTGGAATACATATCTTTCCACCATATTTTTAAATTTCAAGTGATTTATGATCAATTTTGAAAACTTTAAAAAGAGTATAACAGTATCAACAGAAAAGTTTATACTTTTTGAGTTATTCGGAAAAATAATTTCACCACTCCTCGTAGCATTATTCCAGCTTGCTTTTGGCAAAGTATGCTATAAATATAAATTTAAAGTTCATTGATCAGTTAGTGAAGTTTTATGGAAATAGGAACATCTCTTTAGGCGCTAAACTCTCTATCAACATTGATTTTTCGACCGTCCTCTTGAAAGAAAACGGCAGATGATAATGCCGAGCTCTGAGGATCATCCACGAGTGCTCTTTGACATTAATTCAAAATTTCAAAACAAGAAAAAGAGAAAAACCGCGGACAACTTACAGTTAACGGCGGACAAAAGACAGACAGATTTTTTATTATTCAATTTTTCGATACTCCGTAACTTGAAACGTAAAAACTTAAATTTTTTAGGGGGATAAGCTACATTTTTTTTTCTTTTTCTTAGTCAATGACAGCGCCTGACTATTGTTAATAATAAACAAAAAAAAAAATCGTTTAAACCAGACCAGTTTTAGCGAGTGGCTGATATATCAATCAAATGATATAAAAATAGTCACGAATTCGCGTCCCGGTGCCGAGGGAGTCTTTTAAATCCCCGCCCACACTCCCTGGCCCGGGAAAACCTCGTCTAGCCTTAACTGCGAGGAAGGGGGGCACCCAAAAAAAGACCAGTTTCAGCAAAGTTACAGTGTACTGAATTTTATATTCTGATTTTAACAATGGGTCACGCTTCCCTTGACATTGCTTTAGTTCTTTAGATAAATCGTACTTTTATGATTTTTCAGACAGGTTTTCTAGACAATAACTGGAACTCAATTTTTTTTTTTGTTTTAATTGACAAATTTAAAGTTCTATAAATGTGTCTAAAATCTGTAGGAAAGTCGTGTGAGTGGACATACCAGAGTTGTTTTTAATGTTTTTGTTGTTTTTAATGTTTAACTTTTTAATAACCTTGTTCAAAAGCGAATCGTGATTTGATTAATTAAAAAATAACATATAAACTTTATATTTATAGACTGATCCTCAGGATATCATACCGCCCAAGTATTGGGTGGATCCATACAAGTTCGATCGGTTTCTGTTAGTAGTGCGAATTGTTTTAAAATATCTCCAGTTCTCTTTGCCTTATCTGACAATAATGATACTTATCGGAAACGTCAAAGTCCACTCTTCGAATCCGTTGTGTTTGGTTTCATTGGCATTAGTTTTGTTTGTGCTACAGCACAGTGAATTGGTCAAACGGCAAGCGAGCTATATAAGGTATACACGGCCGATGCCTTAGTAGAACGTACGACTCAAAAATGATTTGCCAAATTTGGTTGTGGAGATACGAGTATTGTAAATAAAAAATTGGTACAATATTGTATACTAATATAAAATTAGTAAATATTCTATCTTTGATAATGCAGGTAAATATTTGTTTTACTTCTAGGGCCTTGGATGTGATAGACACCACTTTAGGATTCCCCATAGCTGTGCAAAACACAATTTATTCTATTTGCTTTTGCATCGATTTATACGTTCTGACAATTTTCGTAAGTAGATATTTATACATCACACAATAACTATATTCATTGAATGGAGTATTTTACTGTGTGATATCTTGAATTTCAGGACAGTGAGGTGAAACCGGGGCCGTTTATTGTAAGCTTATTTTCTTTGACTATGATGGCGATCATACTGTTTCTGTTCTGCTACATTGGGGAGTCATTGGAAAATACAGTAATTATAATTATTATATACTAATTAGCTCATACTAATTACAGTATACTAATAATTAACTATTAATTAATTATTAATAATTAACTGTACGGTATATGGGTAATCTCCGGGGATCTCGAGGCGAAACTAAAACGTTTGATAAATTGCTTTGTACGATTCATCTTCGGGATCCCAAGGGACGACTCTGTTTCCCGTAATTATGAAGAGCTGAGATGGCTTTATCCTTCCTACCGATGTAAGTATTTCCTAGCATCCTTCCTCTTCCAAGTCAACCATTCCCGCCATCTTTCGTACATCTCCTAGCTCCTTCAATTCAAATCCTCTGTCCAATCCTGCAAAACCCGTTCCAGGTCATCAGATTTGTACACAAGAGACCACCGAACCGATGCTTTCGACAGATCTTTCATTTTTGGATCCTCATCCCTATGGAATTCTATCCCATCCTACATCCGTCACTCATTGGAGCATTGGAAAGGATATTGAACCTTCTCACCTTTAAATCCCGCCTGTTAAATCACCTCTTTTCCGTTCATTTCTCATAAAATTGTAAATAGATGTAAATATGTATATAAATAATTAGTTTGTTTTAATTACTTTTATTTTTATTTTTTTCTCTTAATTTAAGTTTGAAGGTAAACAATATTCTTATCTTTTAGTTATTCATTATATAAATCTGTCCATCATGTGATTATTCTCTGAAGCTCCAAAGCCCACATCTCCATCTCTGGTCATTATTATAAAGGGACTTGTCCCAGAATAAATAAAGCATTATTATTATTAATTAGGTTACTAATACTCAACGAAAGCAAGTAGAGAAAGATAACAGAATATATAGATAAACCCAGCCAATTTTTGATGAAACTAAACCTCTAAACTACAAAGTTCTATTTTATTTAATATCAATTTCCCTAATTTCATAATGTTGCTAAGCAGTTCAGATTCAGACTAATAATGACAACTTACTATGAGGCAGATGAAACACTCAACTACTGCATCTCTCAACCCCTGACTTTGTTGAGATTACTTTATTTTAATTTCGTGTTAAGATCCGCGTTCAGGCCAAGAGTGGGGAAAAAAAAATCGCAATCCTCATAATTTAATTGCATTCTTGATGGCAAAGTATTAAGGGAATCATAAAACTAACATCCATCCACTCAATGGTTAACAGATTATGCGGCTACAATAGTCGGTCGTCATCCAAAGCGTTAATACCTGTATAAATACCCTTGCAACTAGGATTGGGTTTATCTAGAGGACACAGGGTCTATTAAAAATTAAACTTTTGTTTGTCTTTTGTTTTTCATATCCCCCTCGCTGCTCTTTCTTCAGCATGATTAAAAAGTAGACAGGCCAGCGCAAACATTTTATCTTGGGCAATGAAATCCAAGAATAACATCGTGTTTTAATTCCAAAAAGTCACAAGTACATTTGTGATGTAGCTAAACTTTTTAGAACGTTTTTATTAAACTCGACCTTATTTTTCAATAAAACACAATTAGTGCACTAAAATGACTAAAACCGTTTTGTACATCAAAAAAAAGTTACAACAGACGCACCATTTTCTGTTTTAAAAATGGAAAAATTCATCGAAGTTCTCAGTTGAATTCGATAATAAATAAAAAAAATAAAACAAAGATCGATTATCACACGCATAAACGAGAGAGTAGCATAAACCAATCGGTATAATACAAAGAAGAGGCGTCAAGGACACTCCTGGTAATGGCGCTCATCATCTCCTTTTGGATGACCAACATATCCAAGTTATTTTCAGGGCGAGTGCTTTAATGTCCACGGTTGACACTTCTTGAGTACGTCTGATCGTTGTCCTACTGTTAATTGTGTTTATCATCTTCCAATGGTGAGAAGGAGAGGAAGGTACTGGGATTGTCAGCGACGATCTGAGCATCTATAATAAAGCTTTCGCTTGGTCCTAAGGTCTGGGCTAAGGCTTCGAATTTCGCCTATTCTCGATAGATATTTCTATCCTTTATCCTTTTCTATGGAGAGCAGTTTCCAACAGATATACCATGGTATCGTGCAGACGGACAGTCGTTGAATGGCCGAAAAATCGAGAGATCCAAGCACTCTTCAACAGCGCAGATGCAGCTGGATGGGTAATTGTAAGGAGGCTCGGATGGGCGGGACACCTCGCTAGAATGGATAAGAATGAAATCGCTCCAAAAATATCAATGGAAACTCTCTATCAAGCTAGAAGAGCGGGACAACCTGAAATGAGATGGCTGGATAGTGTCCCCGCAGATGCCAGGAATATTCCTGCAATTACGGACTGGATGACTACGCATAATAGGGATGAACGGCAGTACGTTTTGGAGGGTTTATGATATGTAAGATAAAATGTCAGATGGTGAAGGTGACACCAATTTGTATTAAAAACTGTGTTGAATCCTTGTACTTTTACTGAACTATATATTTATGTATGACCATATATACAACAATCATCATTTCATTGAGACTCAACATAGTTCTTATGAATGTTCCATAGTTAGCATCGGTCGTGCATATTTTCTTAAGCAACGTAAAGGCTATACCTACTGATTGTCTTTCAGAATAATGAAGTGTTCGAGGCACTTTACGACGTACCCTGGTACGAGGAGGGGCCGAAGATTCGAAAACATTTGACAATGATGATACGCCAGGCAAGAAAACCTTTCGTCATCAACTATCACGGGATGTCAAATTTGAATCTGCACAGTTTTATGCAGGTATGAGACATTTTACAAAATATTATTTTCAAAGCATAATTATTTATTTTTATTATTTATTTATCATTTGACACTTTTTTTTTTTCATTTGGAATGACAATCAATTCATGTGTTTCGTGTTGTTGTTGTTTGTTTTGATCGAGTTTATCAACGCATGCGTTTAATTTTGCATATCGAGATGTGTTACGTATAAATTCATGTTAAATTTTCTTTGGATCAAACGTAGTTTTAAAATTGTGCATGCTTGGGACTTGGTTATTTCTCCACAGATTGCAGTAGAAGTATTTGGAACGAATACTCGAGTTCATCAACGCATCCGTTTAATTTTGTACATCAAGATGTGTTTCGTGTAGATTCATGTTATATTTCCTCTGAATCAAACGAAGTGTTGTAATTTCGCATGCTTGTGACTCGGTTATTTCTCCACAGATTGCAGTAGAAGTATTTGGAACTTGTAGCATAAATTATGAATAACTCTTTCAAGATTTCGTCAGTTGAAACCTTGTCATTCCAAAGGGCCCTCTAAGAGAAGACTATTTTTAATTATAGAAAGAGAAATTTGCGATGATTTGTGTGAATTCACAAAAGAAGTTGTTGGGATGAGCAATGCGAGCTCAGCTGTGTTACCTTAAATTTGACTCCTTCCTAAATTTGCAAAATGATGAAAATCAAATCTTATTGACATTCCCTTTTTTTTCTCATATATACATAATTTTAATATCACAAATCTGAAAATTATCGATCAATTTTTAAATAATTTAGGATCGTGGAGACATAGAAATGTTACATAACTTTTGATATTATTAAACTAGTTCATTTCTAACTTTAAATATAAAAATAGTGAGAGATGGAGTTCTGATAATATCTTAGTACAGTTATAATTTGTTTTTTTACTAACCAAATAAATAAAAGGACACATTAGTTACGTATTTAGGTTGTTCGCTAAAAGGTATGTAACTATTTTTTTTTTTTTGGAAACGGCTGAATCAATGTCTAAGTTAGATGGCGCCAAGTATTCGGTGAGATTCTATGAGTCATTTGGAACAATCTGAGCTAAAAATACTGACTCGTGATTGAATAACATTTTAAGTGTTTAACCAATTTGCTAAAAGGTATGTAACGAATTTTTGAGGTAGCGGCTGGATCAATTTTTTAATTTTATCTCTCATATTATTCTTTGAGATTTCATAAGCGTTTTAAAAAAAATGAACTCAAAATTCTTCCAAATTACTGTATGAATTGTGTTTAATCAATGCACTACAATTTTTGTTACGAGTTTGTGAGTGAACTGCTGGATAGATTTTTCAGTTTGATTACTAACATTTTCCAGACTTCTTCCGATAGTTTTTTGAAATACTGTGAGCATTAAACACGGATATATAATTCTGTTCATTGTGTCTAGTCTGACCGTTAATTGAACTATTTTTGAACGAATTGCTCCACCGATTTTTAACTTTGATTGTTTGAAATAATTTGAGCCCAAAATACTGAAATAATTTTCATTATATTTTAAGTATCTCGATTATTAATTGATTTTAAATGATATCATGTGATCTTGTGTTATGGAAATAAACTGTTAATACATTTTTAAAACTGAAAATGTTAAAATAATTTAATTAAATACAAAAAAATTAGATTTAAAAAAAAAACGACTACGCAAATAACTATTCCGTCTCAAGCACTAGCGGTTTTAATTTTGGGACGGCTTCAGCCAGAAAGCTTTATTTTTAATAAAAATAACGATAATTACTTTGGAAAAAAAGAAAAAAACTAACTACATATATGAAATGGTGTTTAAGTGATTCCTTATGTATCAAGGGACGTAAAATTATATATATCTTCATAAAAATATAAGTGGTTAGTTAGTTAGTGTCTACTATGTGTAATATTGGAACTTGATGAAGTAGTCGGGTTCTTTCCATGACATTACGAGCCATGTATTGTGTAAGCACACAGAAGACAAGTTAATGTATTGTCAGAAAAAATGATTTCCGTTCGAGTGTTGAAGGCACCTGAATACACCAAGTTTCAATATTTATAGATACTAACTTACTATCCACTTAACTCAAACTAATCCATTGCAGTGTTCACTGAAGACCTATTTGTTTGGTGCAGACGAAGCTTGGTATGTAGCTCTCTTTTTAGATACGGTTATATATTATAGGAAGTACGGTTATAGAATTCCATTACTTAGAGTATAGAAACCACAGCCTGGATATCTATTTTTATTAATTTGATTAAATACATTTTTTAATTCCCCGAAACCCTTTGAGACTGGGTCCAAGAAGAGATTTTTGAGAGGTTTGGATTAGGCGGAACAATTCCAAAAAAGGACATGCAGCCACCTAGAGGAGCTAGATATTAATGGGGAGTTTGCAATATTGGCCGTGGACATTATTCTGAATTCTCTGGAGATCATCCACGATCACTTATTATTATGTATAATTATGTAATTGACCGTTATTTGGGGCTGTGTTATTATCATTTATTTATTTATTCAATTTTAATATTATTCTAGTCTTATCTCTTAAAATTATCTTGGGTTATATGTCGGCGTTATAATCTTGTATTTTAAGCATTCGAAATATTTTTTATTTTTTGGAAAAAAATATAGGTTATATAATAGTGTAAGTTCAATGTAATATATTAATTATATTTTGTGTTATGAAAAGGGAGGAAATATATATATATATATATTTACAACTTTTCCTTAATCGACCTTTGAGTATTAAATTTAAACTTAACTATTTAATATGGAATAAGGTCACTTTTTTTTTTTTTCTATGCTATATTTATGTGCATAAACCCTCCTAGATAAGTACTGTGAGGTTTGTCCGACTTACTTTCCATCACAATCTGAGCATTTTAACTCATATAAACAACATTGGCTAATTTTTCTCGGCTAGTCCTATCTTTCAGTTGAGACAAGAGGGATTTTTTCAGGCTATTTTTGTATCTATACGATATACTTACATTGTGGTCCTGGTTATATGATACATATATATGGTTGAGATATTATCCTTATTATTAAGTAACATTAATATTAGTATAGCCATATATATATATATATATATATATATATATATATTATATATATATATATATATATATATATATATATATATATATATATATATATATATGAACAATTATGCATATAACAATTTAATTCCTTTATTTCAGGTATTGAACACGTCTTATTCCTATTTCATGGTGTTAAAATCTACAATGTAAAACTTGAAGCTGATCCAGTATTTAAATGCCATTGCAGCGTAAATCACATCATACCCAATTAAGATTATTAATGTCTACCAATTGGTTCATGTCATGTTACCAATTTCACATCTACTTGTTATATTTTTCATGTAATACAGTAGTAAATTTCAATTAAATAAAAAGATTATTAAGACATAAAACATATTAAAAAAAAAAAAATTCTTTCTTTCTGAAGACCATTTTGCCTTATCAGTCAACATATTTGGAAAATTATAGATGCATATATACATATATTTCAAATAATTAAATTAGTAAAATTTCAGTAATCATATATTAATATAGATATTGAAACTATAGCAGCACAAATATTTACATTGTCAATACATATTTTTTTCTTAATGTTTACATATTAAATCCTTGAAATACTACAAATAAAAATGTTTGGAGAAAAACTAATGAAATCATCCAGGGCAGTTAATTGAGAATTCTGATGAAAATATAAACATTTTCATAAAATTGTTTAAAATAAAATCCTTAAAAAAGGTTAATGTTAAAAAGGTTAAAAATATTAAAAACTAATTTAAAAAAAAAATATTTCTTGTCCTTAAAGCTTCGGTATTCCGGACCTATTATACATACCTACATTTTAGTGCATAGCTGATATAGCTGTCCTCTGAAGGAACCATTGAGAACTGGTTATTAAAAGTGCTTCTCTTATTATTCTATTATTTCGAGCAAATCGGCCTACAAGTAAATGAATATAAAACAAAATATACGATAATAGGCCGAGAATTCCACCCTAACTATCAGACCTTCATAGAAGGCAATTCGTTTAGAGTAGACAAGAAGGTTAAGATGGGCGAGCTATATAACTGGAGCCAATTCGTCAGGAAGCCTCTCTACATAATAAATGCTTCTAGTATGCTCTTGTAGTAGACAAAAGATAAGCAGAAACGAGATGTATATCGAATCAACAATAAAATAGCATAGTAACCTATAAACGTCCAGAAGTAATAAGTTATGAAGAAACATTATGAAACCTTTTTTTCCCGATAGTACCTAAAAAAGTATTATTTATTTTTTTAATTAATTTTATCCAAAGGTCACAAAAAATGGGTTTATTTTAATATCCTTTCATAATTGCCGACGTTTCGTCTTCATCGTTCATTTTTAAGAATAAAATATAAAAAATAATTAGTCAATAAAACAAATTTCAAATTTAATATAGCCTCATTTGATGACCTTTGGCAAAAATCATTTAAATAATTAATAAAAATATGGTACCAATCATAAAAAATAGGATTAGAAAAATAAAATAAAAATTATCTTAAGCATTGACGATGCAAATAATAACTTGCTATGTAGAGATATCGAAACTTTCGGAGAGCATTTTAATGAGGATTAAGTCGAGAATTGGCTCAGCAACAAGATGTAAATATTTTTAATTCACTCCCAAAACGATTAACAGCTGGTAGCAACAGCACTGTCATTAAAAATAATGGTCTGTTCAAGAGTTGGTGATCTACAAGTTAGTTTTACTTATCCTCTGAGAGGTAACACTCATGATGTGTTTATAATCACCGAAGGAAGACAGTCAATGGCATATCTCGCTAATTGGCGCCGTATGGAAGAATGTATATGACACTAGTTGATATTAAATTGAACAACATAAAATAGGGGCTATGGACAATAGTGCATAGGCGACAGGAGGTAACACAATCGATTATTAAAAAGGAGATGGACGAAGTTGGAACTGATCTAGTATGCCAGTAATCAGATAATTGGATCAGTTTCAACTGTTAACAGAGTTCTTTCAATAATTGCTCCGCTCTTCGAAGAATAATTAATACCGGCCACAACAAGAAGGTCGCTTCAATATTAAATATACCTTCGTCTTCATCGATTTTTTCATCTCTTGGTCTGAGGGATAATTTGGATAGAAAAATGTTAAGCCGTTTGTTAATTTAATAATAATAAACTTGATATAGACGATGGTCAATATCTGTAACCATCATTAAATAATAAGAAAGAGTCCATACATTAGCAGATCAAGATTTAATATCGGAGGGCTTTATTAGTATATGAATATCAGCCATACTTATTACAGACATTTTTCCAGAAAAACAATTAGCGTTGCCAAATGCGAGACCGATGCGAGTCTTGGTCTTGCGCAAGACTCTCGCAACAGTCTTGCAGTTTCTTATTAGCTTATTGCTATAGAGATATTACTGTATTTTTTTTATATAGGAGAAACCTAACTAAGCACGAATGAAAAATTAGAGGAGTTAAATGGAAAAGTATATTGGTAATACCAATTATTACCATATAGTAACTAAGATTGTCAAGTTATTTTGTTATTTTAATGTTTATAGAAAGTTGTCTTATAGTTTTTAAAAATATGTTATTTTATGTATTTTATTTTGTACCTTAAATTAAACCCATTTTATTTCTTGACCCATTCACATAAAATATATATATATATATATATATATATATATATATATATATATATATATATATATATATATATATTATTTTTTTTTATTTTTTTTTTTTTGAAAAGGCTTTAAAATATATGAATAGAGGTACTAACCGAATCTCTGATCTAATTTTACTTTTAAAAAAATAATGATATTGGGCCTGCAATAATACGAATTTTCAAAGAGCAAGCGTATGAGAATTTGTCACAGATTGCTCGACAACACTGACTGCTCGTTTTAGTTTATAGGCTCAATTATTATGGAGTGTATTATAGTGATCAGAAGATATGAGAGTGTGTTATAGCCTTACATATATAAGACGTTTGGTTTCAAAACCGGTTACATCCAATTTCAAAAATAATTCAGGGCTGTATTTGGGAAGGAAATCAAATCTTTTGGTATTGGTTTTTGGAAGAATTATACGGGTTTGAAACAAACACCTTTAATTTTATAAAAATAAACATTAAAAACTTACTGAACAATAAAAAAATATCTTTTTATTTTACTAAATGGATGTAACCGGTTTTGAAACCAAACGCCTCAGATACAAGTACTATGTTTCAAGACTTTTAAGCCTGTGGACCCCTTGAATATAGAGAGCTGCCTCAGAACTTTACTGGAGTCAAAGATTTGCCAACTGTTCAGCCCACTTACAGTTTTGCACGAGTTCTGTTATAGTCCTTCACAGTGGACTCACTGTTCTACTGCTCAATAGCAGTTTCACTTAATAATATGAGAGCTCATAAAATATCTATATGATGTCACCATAATAATACAGGATTGCCTGCTGTTCTACCATTTCTACAAGTCCTCACCTGCGCGCGGTCACGCAAAACCTAGTAGACTACGAGCTACAGACCATTTTATTTAAGATGGCTTACAGCTAATAATCATTTTAAGTTCTTGAAATGATTATTAGCTGATAATCCACAACTTCGTTCAGTCGGTTGAAATCCTTTGCTTTCTCTACGAATGTTTAAAATAAACTGGCTAAATTTTACATTTCATTTAACGAAGGAACTACTAACCGCTGAAATTTTGGTATGATTTAAAGAATGTGTCACTAAAAGGGAATTAATTTTGATCCACAGTGTAGTCGGTTGCGTTGTAAAACTTGTGGCTTGAACGTTATCAAATTGGTACATTCGCAAGGTAGGTAGTTTGATGAATGCAAAAATTAAAATAGACTCTTTCTCTTTAACATTTTTTTTTTTTTTTTTTGGGTACCACATCTGATTTTAGGTTTCCAAACTATATTTTCCATTACATTGCGAGATATATGCAAAAACCGCAAAATGTAGGCACTTTTTTCGCCATGACTCCGAAACTATTCATTTTATTGAAATTATTAATTAACGAAAGGAAAAAATTACTGTAAAGTTCATATGTAGCTATTTGATTTAGGACCAACGGGCGAAGAGTTAGAGTTGGATGTTTGCTAAATTTTTGTGAATTAGAAATATAGATATAACATGTAAAAATTTATAACATCGATTGCATGAAGTGCGGCACATGTGGTTAGTCGATTTTGAAGAAATTGTTAAACATCCTAGGACTATACAAATCTTAAATATACAATTTCACTTTCGTACTTTTCGATTTTTAGGTATACTGTTAACATACATGCACACATACATAGACAAACCATTTGGGAGACTTGGTTATTTGGACTCAGAAGACTTCTGAACGTATATTCTCGTTGAAAGATAAAATACCAAAATGTTCAAGATCGTAATACTTTCCCTCACTATAAGGTAAACTCCCTTTGGTGGACATACTCGCCGAAGGATGTGGTCTGGTCTCTGCGGTCCAAACTTATTAATGTGTATATACTGTAAATAATAAAAAATTAGCAGCACGGTCCTTCCCCGTTCAATGAAAGTCACAAGGCCTTCTGCCACATATCTAACCCTTAGATATCTCCAATCCTTAAAATGCCCTCGGGCAGTGGAATGAATTTGTTACATGTATATATTGTATTATTATGTATACTATATATGTAAATTGTTTCAATAAACATTTTGGAGGGTAAGAAAAAAAAAAATCACTATATATTTTACATCGCTACTTTATTTTAGTACAAAAGGTGTATGAAACAATTTTTTGTGTTATTTCAATTTTTGCAAAAGGTGACATTTTGTAGTCTGCAACTGCAATAAATTGTCTGTTACTATGGAAAACAGTAAACGGAAATAAAATATAAAATTATACAAATGAACATAAAGAAATAATCCGTTTTTCAGGCTCTATTGTAAAAAACTCAATTTTACGTACGATCTTTTGCATTTACAGTAGCGATATATAGGTAAGTGAAATTAAAAAGAAATAGCGACAGTTAAAAATTTATAGTTTACGTAAATCAAGAAAAATGATAAAGTCTGAAGATTGTATGAAAAACTTTTATTGCAATTGTATATTTTTTAAATTGCTATAGTTTTCTGACACATGCTGTCAGAAACCTTGTAATTTTATTTTGTAATATAGCTTCAACATTTTGCCTTTTTCGATTTTTTAGTTTATTTTCAAAAAGACCGTCATATACAAAACTAAAGCAAATTAAATTGGATATATTTTAAATTTGTAAAATTTTTCTTCAGGGAGAGTAAAGACAATTTTTTTGCTCTCGATAGCAGTTTTTTTCACAACAATAGTGTTGTTTATTCCGAAATATCTAATTGAAATATTTTTTCAGGTATTTTATGAGGTTTAAATAAATCTATGATCAAAGGGATCGTAAAATCGGTAAAATATTGAAACATATAAAATGCACAAAAGAAAAAACAGTAGATTTCGAGAGGTAGGTGAAATAAAATAAAAGTTGAACTTTTTGTCAGCAATCTTAGCTACATATTCAGCGATCCTACAAACTGGGGTATACCAAAATTTACTACTACAAATTTTACAACAAAACTTTCTCCTTATTTGTCTTTATCTATCTAAGTTTTACGCGACTATTATGAAAATAAAAGAGAAGAATAGAATAGTTGAATAGAATAGTTGGGGTGGTCAGTCAAAAAAGAAGGCAAAAATAAATTATAATATTTATTTTTACATATGCCGACGTTTCGACCTGAAGTTCAGACCTTCATCAGGGCTAAGAAAATCATCATCATTTATCATTTATTTTTGCCTTCTTTTTTGACTGACCACCCCAACTATTCTTCTCTTCATTATCCACGACAGTCAACCATTTACCAATTATGAAAATAAAAGAGAATGAAATTTTTAATGTGTATTATTAAAAAGTTCTTTGGCAGTATAAAATTTAAACAAAATTTGGAAACCTTCAAGAGGAAAAATAATATAAAAAGGAAGAGAAAAATTTTACTAGGGATTAAAACAACATATACTATGGTTAACTATTATTTAATTATAAATAATAAATCAAATTAATATAATGTTTATTCTCATAAATAACTGGAACAGGATGTTATGTTTCGCCCAAGCTATGAAACTATTATTACTATTACAGTGAAACAAAAATGAATAAAGCACCTTATCTTTTATAATTCGTGTTCAGCGTCACCAGGACTAAGTGATTTCATTATCATCAAATAAGAAAACGAATTATTGACTAACTGAAAAAAAAAGGTTATGAAAGTTAATAAACACTAAACACGAGGTAATGGATTCATACATCATTTTAAGAATTCTCAGTACCTGCATGTAGCACCTCAAATTCAATGAGGATGTGAAAGCATAGTCGAAAACTAAAGTCTTTGAGCTCTGCAAGAGGAGTAGTAAATACGTTTTCTGCAACTTCAAGCTCTGCTTGTACCAGGGTAAGCCACAGACTTCATAAAATAGTTCATCGCTCTATGAAAACAAAATTAAATTTACAATTTCACTTGAAATATGTTATTAAAAAATATAGCAATTTGAAAAAAAAAAAAAAAAAAAAAAAAAAAAAAAAAAAAAAAAAAAAAAAAAAAAATATATATATATATATATATATATATATATATATATATATATATATATATATATATATATATATATCATGAGTCCACTCATACGACTTTCCTATATATTTCAGAAAAGTTTTTATATCTTTACATATGTCCATGAAGAAACAAAAAAAAAATTATTTTCCTGAAAATCGATCAAAGAAAAGATTTGAGTACGCTTTATTCGATAAACTAAAGCAATGTAAACCAGCTTATAGTAGATCAGTGGACAATTTTCTATACTCTATGATATTGCTGATCGTGAAGCTTGTGTGAGGGAACAACAGATATTCTTACTTTCATTTAGTTATATCTTTTCTCTCATTCATCCCTTTCTGGCACCAAGATATGATCTCGTAATCTTACATCCATATACAAAAATTGAAAGGAAAATTATTAAAATATTATAGGAAAGTTTCATCAAAATCGTTGAAGTCGTTTTCGCGCTACAGTGTATAGAAAAACATATTTTTGATTTATTGCTCAGCAGCTGTTGCGCATGGAGCACCCAATTTCTGTCATAGGCATCAGTAGTCAAAACCCTACAAAATAAATAAAGGAGCAACAAAATCGGTTCACTAGTTTTCGAGAAAATCTTGGCAGAGACAGACAGATAGACCAATGGCTAAAAATGTGTTTTTCGAGCTCGGGGGGCTCTGAAACGTATAGATTCGTCAAAAACCGCATATAGGAAATTTGACCCGATTGCAATACTTTCTATTACCTATACCTAATATAGGTTGGAAAGTAAAAAAAATATTGAGTTAGCATAAACATAATTATAACATCTAGTGACGTTATCAAATGTTTTATTAAGTGGTTAATTTTTTCTGACATGTCCTCTTGTGTGTTTAAGAAATGTAGCAAAATAACGAAGTACATAAGTGATAAGAATATTGTTTAATTAATTTTTTAGGGTACAGAGAGGCAAAGAGATAAGGAAATCGTTTTCATTTAGAGAGAAACGGTCATATGGCGGGAAAATATATAAAAAGATTTTCCATCAATTTACAACTAGTGTCCTTTAGTCTTTATAAAGTTTCCTCAGCAAGAACTTCAAATGCTTATATTTTGAGAAGGAAACAAATTGAGCTAAAAAAAAATCTATCATAAAATGAGCTCATCATAGAGGTCATAATAAAACTTCATCAAACTGCTCATACACACTAAAATCGTATGGGTAGACGGAAGAAAATTCAGTATCTAATCCAAATATTAATAAATAATGATTAAAAAATAAAATAAAACGTTTGTTTAAAAACACGCCAATATTGAATCAACTATGAGAACCTTTTCACATTACTAGAAACTGTAATAAAAATATCGATTCGAAGCAACTTAGGAACTGAGATTGCTCTCAGGTTGGAAATAAACATTAAAACCAATTAACAGGGATACAAATTTAAATAAGAGATGACTAAGAAAGAATACGTAGTAAAAAAGTTTACAAAACAAATCTTTATCTGTAGTACAATAACCAATTGTAAATTATTTTATAATACAAAAATTAAAAAAATCTTTCCATCTACAATAGGTACAATGGCACCTACGTTTTTCATAATCTGGCACTATAGCCTAACATAAATACTTATTTTGTTTATAGTTTTAACAGAAAAGAAAATGAGTTTATTTCTGTGAATAATATTAGGTAATTCACGTCTGGTCTGTGAATATCATACAGATACTGAGATAAACATCTCTCCTCCCTCTCCTGAAACTTCACCCTATAACTCAACAAGCTAACACTCACAACAGCTAAGTGTTGGCAAATATGTCCTTGTATAAATGTATAAAGCCAAAAAAGTGTTAAATATAAGAGATAATTTTTCTCAAATGTGAAATCGTGATTTTTTTATTGATTAATTGCTTAAGTTGTTTTTTTAGTTGGGAGAAATTTTTAAAATCCATTGTAATATCAGTTTTTAATGATTAAAATTACAGCGAGCTGGGTTGAGATTTGAAACGTATCTCTACTTAATCATTTATCTCTTTTTCTTTATTCGAACATGGAGTAATAGGATATTAGCCGATTTGGGATGCAGCAGGGAGAGAGGCGCCCAGTAAATTCTCACTTCGGGCCTCAAAAACCCTTTAAAATATTATTTTAAGAAGTATAAATTTTATATAAGTATATTTTTTATTTTATAAGTTTAAATTTTATAAGTATAGTAGTTCAGACTATGTTTATAAATTTTCTTGTATCACAGAATAATTCAAAGAAAGAAATTAATGCCATACCATCAGAGTCAGGTAGTGGAAAAGTCAGACAATGTCAGTGATGATGTATGAACTTAAACTGCTATCACACTGATTTTATTTTTAACTGTACTCTTATGGAATGGAAAAACTATTTCATATAAAATTAAAAAGTTTTTTAGAGTCAGTTAAATTGTTATAATCTTTTAAAGCCGGAGAATTTGAAATCTCCATTCCATATCGTTTTTTTATATTTATTTATATGATATTAGTTGCTTAAACTTCTGTTTAAGAAAGCAATGACAGAAAATATATGGATGATAACAATATATGCTTACTTTTTCTTCAAGGTATTCTCCAGCTGAACAAAGAACAAGCCCTAGACCGAACAATATCAAAATGAACACTGCAGCAAGAAGCATCACAAACGTGTTCTTTCCAAATAGCTTAACATTTTAAAAAGTTATATTTTAGTGTAAAGTATACATCTTTAAACAATGAAATTAATTAAGTTTTAAAATACCTGTAAAATCAAAAACATTACAAAACATATTGATAACGTAAAAATTATGCGACACTGCACCAGAGTTGGCAAAGCGATACTTTGATTTTGAAGCTCGTTGAATCTAAAAGAATAAATATATATAAATTCTCCTACAAAATGATGAGTTTATACAAGGAAAGTTTTAAATGCTATTCCAATGGTTTTTTTTTCAGAATAATAGTCTATTGAACAACTAACTAACAAAGCAATGTAAGATTGTATATGAATGAGTAGAAAAAATATGGTCCAGTTTTACCCATGTGTAGATACTTGTTAACTTCAATTTTGTAATAATAATTTTATGATTCATTTTAATTTTAGTTTTGAATTTGAAATTTTAAAAACTTATTTTCTACTAACTTAATTATTTTAACAATTTATTTGAAACACACCCAACTAAGAAGCTTTATTGAAAAAAATATGACTTTATTTCAAATTTATCCAAATTTTTGCCTCATCAATGATAATCTGATTTTATATGTAATTCAAAATTTTCATCTGAAAAAAACATATACAAAAATCTTTCAGAGGATTTACATAAGACATTAGCCCATTTTTGAAACCTTAAAAACATTATTCACCAATGAACAATATAATATATATTATATGAATAATGTTTTTAAGGTTATTAAGATTTCAAAAATGGGCTAATGTATAATGTAAATCCTCTGAAAGATTTTTGTATATGTTTCTTCACATGAAAATTTTGAACTACATGTGAAATCAGATTATCCCCGAAGATACGAAAATTTGAAATAAAGTTATTATTTATTGAGACTAAAAAGGCCTTTTTCAGCCAATAGGTATTATAGTCTCTTGCTCAAGATCATCTTTTATCAAAAATATGACGTTATGAGATGACTAATGATATAAATGACTAATATTATAGACAAAGAAAACAATAAAAAACATATTTATTCTTTGTTTTATTTTATTTTTTAACAGCTGATTATTTCATAAAACAGTTTCAAAGTGTCTTTTCCAACAAGCAATTCTAGACTGTTTTCGCATGTGCAGTACAGGACTGCTTGTTGGAACAGACCCATAACAATGAAAAAAATATGTACCTTCTAATGGAATCTGTTATAAATAATTTTTGAAATAAGTTATATTATAAAATTTTTATTACAAATTTTAAAATTGAAAATTTCATTTCATATTTTTCTCTAATTTTCATCAAAAATAATAATTCAGTTCAGTAATCATTAAAAAAAATAAATAAAAATATAGATATGAGAATAGCTTGGTTTTTATGCTTTATTACTACATGTTTTGTATCAGTAATCTTTGCCTCTTTCACAACTTTGATCTGAACTTTAAATATGCATTTACCCCTAAAATTTTACTTAAAATATTTTCGCAGTTAAGATGATTGAGGACTTCTCATAACTTAACGGTATTTTAAAAGTCACTTAAAGTAAGGAAAAACTAAAACTTTAAAATAGGTCAAATCTTTTAAAAAATTTCTTCTTTCTTTAATGTAGTGGGAACTTTTAAATTGTTAATAATTTTAGGCTATCCTAGCTCCTGGAAACGTAAGCTAAAAACAATGATTTGCAGCCTGAGAGTAAAAGATGTTTTATGTTTAAATGTGACAATAGTGGACTTATGATTATAGGTACATTAGACTAAAACTTAAGCAACCATCAAATTTTGAGGCATATATATTTAGGTTTATGTGAGTTTTGTAGCTGAAAGGGATATTTTTTAATTGTAAAATAAAGATCCTGATGATGTGAGAAAGTGCTCCCCAAAAAGGTATGAAAAAAAAAAAGTATAACATTTCAAAAATATATATTGTGGGTTTATATCAGAATAAATATGACCTTAAGTAGCATTTCAGAAAATCGAATCACTAAGTAGTTTGATGAATTTTCTTTCTGTGAAATGAGAACATTTTGCACTTAAAATAACTACTTTTGATATATAACATATATTGTATCATTTTGATGCATTTACTTTTGTTTTTACACTGATAAACAAGCTCAAAATTCTTAAAAAAGTTTATTTCCATAAAAAATGTAATTATAATTATTCGAATTTTCCAATAAACCAATTATATATGTATACTATATTAATTACTATTCTTCCTCTACCTCAGATAATTAATGGAAAATAGGAAAATCTATTTTAAAATCATTGTTTAAATAATTATCTATGGATTTGTGGACATGGATGATTTCCTATGACAGCTGTTAAATAATTAAATACAAAGTTTTTACAAACCTCAGAATTTGTCCATGCTTAAGAATGATATGGTTCAGATTCCAATCAGGTAAAATGATCGCATTATTATCTTGTTTAATTTGTAATATACGCAAATATTCTTTTATAATATTGATTTCAGTAGTGGTGCAGGATACAATATAAAAAATAGTGCATTGGAACGCCACTGTGTTAGGAACACCAAAGATTAACCACAGATCAGAGAGAAGAGTGTAAATGAAAAAATTGAAATTTCTTTGGTTTGTGTCATCTAGGTAACCGTCGAATGGCAATGGGACTGTGTAACGGTCTGGATTATCAGTTATAGCTCTGACTACGTTAACAATAACATGCATTATTGTGTAAACCACACCAAAACAAGTCAAACCATAACTGAAACAATTAGCTATGTATTTGACTTTCTCTGTGTCTGTTTGAATCAGTTTCTTTTCCCAAGGTTCTTCATAACTGCTTAGATTTTTATCACATTCTAAAATGAGCTTTTCCATCTCTCTTATTTTAAAAAAGAATAGCACACTTGTAACCACCACATTAAAACCAAGAGGAATGAAAACAGCAGAAGGAGTCAATAAAAATTTCACACCTCTGAGAAATATTACATTAATCATAAGGATCCAACCGACAACCAAGTAAATTAATCTGAATATTTGAAAGAGAGTAATAAGTGGACCAAATCTGTGGTTCGTAAAACTGATCCATAAACCACCAATTTTCAGTAGGTAAACCAGTGACTTAGCACGTTCTGTGTTCATCATGAATGCTAGGACTGCCATAGCTGTGAATTCATTCAAGCTTAAATAGCACATAATAGGATCCATTATCTCAACCAGGTGATCAATTCCACACCAAGTTTTAGACAGATTCTGTTAAATATTTGATCACCGAATGAGGAGTGAATTTAAGACAGAATTTAATCTTGAATGCAGAAAGCGATTTGTTATTACAAATATTTTCAAGTCATCCTTGGCAAATACTTAAAAATTAGAAGCAATTAAAAAATAAATTGAAATTTCATAGACTTCAGTTAAAAAAAAAAAAAAAAAGAGAGAATAATTCTTAGTTAATATATAAAAGATATTTTGTTATTAAAAACAAAATAATTAAGAATTAATTTTTGTCATTAATTCAAAGTTAAATTAAGTCAATTAAGTTTTAGGTTTGAAATGAGTAAATTGATAATAATATGATATCATAAAATACTAACAAAAATCCTGTTAGAACAAAGACAGGCAAAATCATAATAAAAAATCTGGTGCGCACAACACACAACTTTCACTTACTGCTCTGCTTCAAAAAGCAATTCTTGTCTGGCTAAATTTGGCTATTGCAACAAGTTTTAGAAGTGCATTTTTAACGGAGCTAAACTTTGAACAATATATTTTTGAATGTTGGTCATATTCATTGACACAAAAACTCATTAAGACTATGAAAATAACATAAACCCTATTTATTATATTCATTGTAAGCAATGAAAACTTTTAACTTCATCAGTCTATTTCAATCATATAACTCCAGTCTCTGAGCTCTATAGACAAGGAATGATCTGAAAGTACATTTATTTTATTATGAATAAGTAAGGTAATACTGAACAATAAAAATTACAGGAATTAAATCTCAATCACTTTTTGAATTTATTTAAATTCTTATTTTTTACCCTAGGAAAATTTAAAAAAAAAAAAGTTACTTGTTTTTAAATACAGCATAGAATTGTTAGTGTATAAGGTGATTTCACAAAAGGAATTTTATTTTATAAATCAACGATGTATACGTTATTGTTTAAATAAAATATTGGATTTAGGATTATAAACATGTTTTACCCATCCATGAAATATCTTTATATTTCACTTCTTATTTCACACAAGTACAATGAAACTTTTTTTTTTCAATAATCTCATTGCTTTAATTTGGTGGATTTTATAACCTTTTTTTTCAAATGAGCTAAAATGTTTACATTTAATTAAGAAATTATGTTTCATTTTCTTGGAAACATTTGATTTCCATTAAATAATATTATTGTTCAGAAATTATTATTTATATTTTTTGTCACTCTACATTACCTTCTACCACTTTGTATGTTAGATATTGTTTTTCCTAAAATTCTCAGCTTTACAACGATATATTATACATATACTTTTTAATTATTATTTCCGGAGATTTATTTTCAACCCGGATAAGCATTTTTCTTTTCTTCTCCGTTATTCAAAAGACAAATTCTTCCAAAATTTATATTTAGCGGTTTTTTATAACTTCTAACATGGAGAGCCAGGTAATTTTTTTAAATAAACCAAAGGGACCAAATTAGAGGAAGACATATTGAACATTGGGCATTTAAGCCCTGTGAAATGATATCAATATGGATAAAACCTAGCTGATATTAAAAATAACTTAATAATACACTGAAATCCTGAGTTTAACCAAAATCATTAAAACCGTTTTTGAGAAAATCATAAAAATGTGTATCATCGCTAATATAAAGTGAAACTTAAGGTAAGCTGATTTCCAGGAAAAAGTTGTTGTGATATCTCGCGCATACAACTGTCTTAAATATGTAATATCAGTTTCTTAGGACTTTTCGTTTTTGAGTTAGACTATACACACACAGACCATTTTGTAGGACTTGGTTATTTCCACTCAGAGAATTTCAAAACATATATTTCCGTTGAAAACTCAGATTCGAAACTTTCCATGATCACAATACTTTCCCTTGCTATATATTACATATATAGGTGAGTGAAAGTAAAAAGATTTAATGTAGCCATAAAAAAGATTCCGTTGCCAGATAGACAGCAAGTTGGGTTGCTGAAAAATAAAATTCAATAAGACTGAATTTTCTCTACATTTTTTATTTTAAGCCCCTTAGGAAATGGCTTGCTATTGGATGATAAGAATATGGAAAGGTTGTTTTTTTTTTTTTTTTTAATATGGGGCTCAGTAGTAGTCTCATTTGAGTATAGTTAGTTAATTTTCCTGAGTTTAACCTGAGGCTTTCAGCATCTTTAGTTTTAACTTTTGTTTTGGAGGATTCCCAGAAAATAGAAAAATTAACATACCTCGATGTGATAAAGTCTGTCAATGTCAGTAGTTCAAGGGTCATGTGAAGTAAGCCCATTTCGTTTTCTGTAGTGTGATATGTTTTCCTATATGTTTCATCTCGCTGCTATGAAAGGTGATTTGTAGCCATTGGGCAGCATCTTGAATGAGGTAAATCTTAATTTGTTTTTGTAAATCATTAATTTGAAGTTGAAGGTTAGATTTGGCAGTGGCAATAAATGGTTTAGTCTGTAAAACTTGATCTTCTCATTTTTCTTTTATTTATTTATTAGTATTAAATGTACAGAATAATTAGTAAACATTCCTTCCATGTGACTATTATTAAAAGGAATTAAATAAACAAATTTAATTATCTAAAATTAGTTTAAAAAATCTGGTGCGTGCAACACACAACTTTCACTTACCGCTCGACTTTGAAAAGAAATTATTTTCTAGCCATGTTGGGCTGTTATAAACTTTTTGAATTGCACTTTTAACCGAGCTAAACTTTAAAGCTTATAGCTAACAAATCATAAATATCATTAAAATAACAAAACTTCTATTTATTATATCACCGTTTGATTACAAATTGTACAATCTGTTGAATATAATCGATGTACGACTAATAGTTGTTAAACTGTTATTTTCTATTGCAAAGTGTACTAAAATGGAATTACGAGATTTGCATTGTCCGTCATAGACAGGCCAAAAGTTCTCACACTAATTGTAAGTGGATACTGTTGGGATATCACAAAGAAAAAATTCATCAAATTAATCACTAATTTAATTTTCTAAAAGGTCACATGATGATTACGCAGAATAAACTGACGATGGACACCTAATTATTTAAATATAATATCAGATCTAGAGTTATTAAACTAAAGTAAATATATTTAAGGTTACCTAAATTATATTAGTCAATTTTAAGGAAAAAGTTGCTGTCACATCTGAGCCAATTACAAATCTTAAATACATAATATCGGTTTCGTACAACTTTTTGTTTTTGAGCTAGACTATTCACATACACACAGACCATTTTATGGGACTTGATTATTTGAACTCAGGAGACCTCAAAACGTGCATTTCCATTGAAAACTCGAATTCGGAAATGTTCACGATCGCAATACTTTCCCTTACTATATATATTACATATATAGATAGGTAGGTGAAAGTAAAAAAAATAAGAATATTGGTTAGATACCAAATAGTAATATAATATGGAAAAAAATAAATGGGATCAATTTTGATGAAGAGCAATTTTTTTTAGTTAGGATGATTACAATTGCTTGTTATTCAAAATAATGAACCAATTTTTTTTTTTTTAACTCCTATTGGCTGCAACTTCGCTAACAATTGTCAGATAATATTTAAAAAGTTTTGGTTAATTAACTTTACATTTTCTTTTATGTACAATTTCCTAATCAATTTAAACCGATTATAAAATGAATCAGTTTCTTTTTATTTGTTGTTTAGAAGGAAATGAAAACACTTTCATGAGAATGAAAACACTAGAAAGAGCGAAAACATATCTTTAAAGCTCATGGCTGAATCATTTAGTACAGCACTGATGATGTAAATTATCTTCACACCAATGGATATCAATTATTGTACAGAATCCATTTGATTTCTGCTTTACTGATTTGCTCTTAGTTATAATTTATTATTTTCTTAATAATTTTGTCACTTATAAAGAAATCGAGACCTTAATCATCAATAGACGTTTCTGTGTAATTTTCTTTTAGGTCCAAGTAAATGAATGAAGTTCTACGGTTTTGGAAGGTTTTCAGAGTTAGAGTCTTGTGTTTAAAACAAATTCAGTACGACTTTCCACTGTCAAAAATAAATTCAAGGTTGCTTTAATTTTAAGTACTTGAATTATGAGTACTTGAACACCCTCAGTGCCCAAACCACGCCCTGAAGATGACCCACATGTTTGAAACGTTGCCATAAATAAAAAAATTTAAAAAGACTGCGTCCTGAATATTTATCACCCTTTAATTGTAAGGAATGAATGCCTCTTCTTTAGAACCAGATTCGTAGGAAAGAAAATTTTCAAAATCAGTTTAATCTTGTCATATCATTCCTTCTAATGATTACACTAGGGTTGTAAAAAAAGTTTTTCTATCTATGACACTTCAAATAATAATATATAAATGTACAAGAATTTTTATTTAATTCAAAGCCAAAGTTAATATGGTTTATTACAATTTATATTAGCTTTATTAAATATAGTTGAAGATGTAATTAGAAAACTAAAGAGGTAATTAGATTTGATAGGATAAAAAAAGGTTGACTATTCACTAGAAAACATAATGAAGACAAGTTTTTCTGAAAACCACCCAAAAACATATAACATCATTTACTTAGACATAAAAGAAAATCATACAGAATTTATTTATTTTTCTTTGAACTCCAACGTCTCAGCCCTTTTTCAATTTTCAAGTTAGAGCCATATTCTAACTAAGTGAACTCCTAACCTACAAATTTTAATATACATTTAATTTAAATATATGCTTTCGCCTGCATTCAATCCTCTAGTGTTTTCATTCTCAGGAAAGTGTTTTTATTTCCTTCTAAACAACAAATAAAAGAAAAATTGATTCGTTTTAAAATCAGTTTAAATTTATTGGTGAATTGTGCATAAAAGAAAATATAAAGTTAATTAACCAAAACTTTGTGATTTGAAATCCTCCCCTGACCTTTGCACTTATCTACCAAATGTGTCAGTACTTGAACACCCTCAGTGCTCGAACCACGGTTAGTAAGAGAAAATATTACAAATTTTTATAAATAAATTATATATATTATTTTCAGTTTGTTTAATTTTTTACATATTTCATATATAATATTGTTTATTGTAATAATAGTTAAGATTCATGTACCATCAATCACTATAGTTTGTTATTTACCATTATCGGTTGTATAATATTATATCTCTGATTGTATTTTAAAATATTCAGCCCTGAAGATGATCCACATGTTTGGGTTGAAACGTTGGCACAAATAAAGAAATTTGTATAATGACTGCGTCCTTACTATTTATCACCCATGTACTAATTTTGGTAATATCAGATAATCTCAGGAGATAAATTATTGGTATGAGTTCCATTGTACTTTGATTGAATACAACTCTAACATATATCTAACCTAATCAGGCTAATTAATCAGTTGACGCCAAGATATTTTTATACAGATATAAGACTCGACTAAAAAAAAAAGGATAATATTAAAATGTGTAGAAGTAAAAATAAGAGTTAACCCAATAAGATAATAAGAGTATCATTAAAAAATAATAATAAAAGTATCGAGAAAATACCCTTTTTTATTCAAGAAAAATTCTATGAACAATTATTATATCTGAAGTTATATAGATAAATAAAATTACAAATTATATGTAATTTTATACATAACAAAAAAATAAAAACCAGCATAAGGTTAAGGAATCATAGAACAAGCACCAGTACTAAAATCGGTACACATGACTAGATTGTATTAACTATGTTTATAATCAAATCATTTATGCACCAAAGAATCTCTTGTATTTTTAAAAGCAAGCTGCACTCGCTTTAAATACATTTCTTTTTCAGATTTCTATCACAGAAACATATGTAAAATGAATATCTTCTTAAGATTTTTCACCAGGTTGCTGCTCATAATCTTTGTACTTAGGAAACGTTAGTGATTGTCCTGGAGGAGTAGAGGTTTCTTTAAACTTACTTTCAATTTCAGCAGCCTTTTCTTGTTTTGTTTTCATGAGTTCTAAATTTTGCTTGATTTCTTCATCTGTGGGTGGTGTTTTTCTTCTATATCTCAACCATGATTCCCACTCAGATGGAAGTCCAGCATCAAATTTGTCCTCATTCCCATCTTTAGGAACGAACCATCTAGCATTTCTTCTGTTTGTTTGACTTTTAGGAATTTCATAATATTGATTTCCTTTGTAGTCAGTCCCAATCAAATTGCCACGAAACTGTCTAGGTTTTAAGGAATTTATAAAGTTATTCCACAAGTTCGCATAGATATTTCTACTTCTATTAGCCATTATATGATTACTTTCACCAAAATAAATAATTTTACCAATTGTCCTAACTAAAACCTGAAATTACCTCCCCATTATAGCAAAAATGGCGTTAAGATACCCAAAGAAGTAGTTCTAGATTAACAAAACAGATCAAAACATGTTAAATAGTTTGGGTGATAAATATTCAGGACGCAATCATTATAAAGTTTTTATTAATACCGACGTTTCAACCCAAACACGTGGGTCATCATCACGGAGTGATTTGAGCACTGAAGGTATTCAACTACTTTAAGGTAGAATACTTGAATACCTTCAGTGCTCGAATCACGCCCTGATGATGACCCATTTGTTTGGGTTGAAACGTCGGCACTAATAAAGTGGGGCCATATAGGCGGAGCCATGATTCTGTCACAGTGACTGGGCTGTGAGCTGATGATCACAGTGACAGACACTGTAGTCACTGTGAAATCACTGCGCCCCAACACTGAGAGTCACTGTTGGCGCTGTGAAATCACTGTACGCCAACAATGACGATCACTGTGCTCCAACAGTGACGATCACTGTAGGTGCTGTGAAATCACAGCTCTGATCTCTCTGCTCTATCACTCCTATCGTTCCAACGATCTGGGTATTGTTGATATCATCTATTTAATAAATAATTAATGGAATAATTATGAAATAATTATTTCTAAAATAAAAGTCATTCGTCAAATTTTATTAAAAATACTTTTTGAACTTTAGATGAATTGAACATTCATTACCATATATTTCTGAATGAGTTATGTCTGAAATAATTAACGGAAAGTTTTTAATTTAACTGTTGAAATATAAATAAAAAATTAATTGAAAATTAAATAAATTCAAATATCCTCTGCAGGGCTGTATACAGAAATCAAGGGATCAGAGAGATATTTTCCCCTGTCGAATATAAAATTTATCAAGGAAAAAATTTATAAAATGGAAAAAAAAAACTATTTTTCATTTTAATATAAGTTTAAACACGTAAAATTTGATTTCACAGCGACGCTTTCGACAAGGGGCCATTGTATACTTATCACATGAAAAAAATCACTGTAGTGACAAATCAATGTGATTTGTCACAAAGATTTTCCCAAAGCTGTCACTGTCCGAGCTGTGACCGTAAATCTCTGGCACAACCCACCACTAATAAAAACTTTATAATGACAGCGTCCTGAATATTTATCACCCATGATATGTAGAATAGTGGACTAACTTCCTTCAATAATGTTCAATAGTTAAGTTAAATTTTGGGAAATGACCTAAATTTATTAAGGGTAATGATTCAGATAATGGTTAGGGTCAAACTACAAGATATGAAAATTTTCCTTCTTGAGAGTTAATTTCTCTTTAATAAATTTTAATCAAACCAATTTTTTCTAATGGAACATCATTTCTACTTCAAATTATTTTTTTCTTTTTTGGAGAATTAGATATGAGGGGTCAAGAATAATAGTTTTTAGAGGCCCATAAACAAAACAAAGATTAAAAAAAAACAGTAAAGAATTAAAAGAAGTGGCCTATAACATAAATTCAACAATTAAAATCTGGTGATAACTGAAAATAGAGAAAATATACAAATTATATTTACAATCAATAAGTAACATGGTGGCAAAATAATATGTTTGATGTATAAATAATGAACAAGCTAAAAATTTATGTAACGTTAAAAATAATACTGTAAGTGTAGAAAGAATAATAAACATTTTATCTTAATAATTGAACCCCCAATGGTTCGAACATATTCTTAGTAATTTAAACTATTATTCTATATTTATTTTACTTTATCTGTTTTTCCTGTCATTATATAATCCCGTTCATTATCTTTATTTATTCATCTTTTTGAAACACTTACGCTATAGTTAAAACATTTTATATTTTGTGTTGTAATTTAATCAAATTTTTAAAAAAATTATTATATCTATTTCTTTTTCACTTTATATCTATTATCATTTTTTTTATTGATACATTTTATTTCTGCTTCATCATTACACTATGTTCTAATCTATATTTCTTGAATCCTTAATTTATGTTTGCCTGATAAATAATAAACATGTTTGGATTGAAAATTGAGTTTGTGAAATTAAAAATTAACAACTAATTTCAACATTATATTTATTGCAAAAAAAATTATTAAGTACTCTTTTTATAGAGCTAAAAGTTTACATTCCTATTTGTGAATACCATTTTACTTCTTAAAGCCATGAACATGTATCCAGATCATATAGAAATTTATAGTTTTTAGTTATCTTAGGGCAAATAAAACAGCTAAATAGCATTGGAAAATCATTAAATTTTCTATGACCTGATCAAATAGGAATGGCTGATAGAGCAGCTAAAGAAGCTCTTACGCTCCCAGAATGTGGTAAAGCTTTCTTAACTGCGTCCGAATTGGCGAGATCACACTGAAAGAGGCTATTTACCAAGATTGGCAGACACTGAGGGGTAAAAGCCCTTCAAATAAACTGAAAGTAATAAAAATATGAAGTGATTCCATGAAGCAGTTCTAGTCGCGCTTACGTGACTGAGGACATACCAGGCTTACGCACCTTTCTTGGAAGTGTAGAGAGAAAATGACAGTGCCCCACATCTTTGAGAGTTGCGCCTTTTACATCAGACAAGTTAATGAAGGTTAAATGAAAGTTAAATGAAAGGGGGATACCAGCAAATACATTAACTCCTTTGGGAAATGATGAAAAAATCTTGAGTGAAGTCTTATCTTTTCTCTCCAAAGAAGGAATCTTTAAAAATATATAAACCATAGATGTCTCATTTAAAAATATATATATTTATTCATTTATATACATTGTAATTATATTATTTTTATTATTCAAAACCAGCAGATATAATTAACCGAATTGATAACCAACAGGTTTTACCTCATTACTTCATGACAACCAATCAATCCATTGGGAACTTCCAATAATATAGAAATACACATTAATATTTTTAACAAAAAAAATAAATAAATAAGGTGTCACTTCATAATGTCAGTAATATATGTCTAGATTCTTAATGAATGAAAGAACTACAAACCATCTTTAGCAAACAAATCTTTAACAAATACAGTAATGGATTAGTATGAATTCAGGGATAGCTCTGTCTTAATTATTAAATGGTTTTAAATTTGGTATAATTTCCTATTTATAACCTAGTTTTGATAATATTAACTACCATTTATCGATACCATCAATAAACATTTTTATGGTTCCTGAATACATATATGGTTATACATGTAGAATATAAATGATCGGGAATATATACTCTACATGTATAATCAAACTATTCTAACCGTAGTGAGAAGGTCAATTCGAACTGGTGCTGCTGAACTCAACATTGCAAAGGTTTCTCTTCTGGTCGTCATAGCTTGTAAACCACTGTTCTACTTGCAATGAGCACTTCTAATAGGATTGGTTGTCCCAGAGCAACATTTCATTAAATTAAGCCATCAACTGTGGTGGACTCATATCTGGGTGGAGACAGAATCCAGCCCAGGTAATGGTGGACTCATACATGAGTCGAAAGTCTGTTTGGTTTCCTCCCATTAAACAACAGAGTACTGAGTTATCAATTCTACTTTTAACCTTTTAACCTCTCGGCCTTCCCATGAGACAGTAGATAATTTTTATATGATTGGAGATTATAGGCATTTTTGAACAATGCCTAAGTTTAACAACTTTGGTTTGTTAATAGAGGAGATGAAAAGTATTTCATCCTCAAAGGCATTCCACTCTTTCTGATCATAATTACTAAAAGGTTAAAATATATCTTAGATTTTTTTTTACACATTCCTCGGATGAATGTTTTTACTGCATCTAATTCTTTTTTTATTCCTTTTAAGAACTACTTCCATTTTTTTTTTATCAGTTAATTGGTTTCTAACTAGCATTGCTGTGGCTTGATATAATTAATATGGTTTAGTTAAACAAAAATGCTTTTTAGTATGATTAATTATTAACAACCTTACAACATGATATCTGAACAGAAATTTAATATTAGGTCATTTTCTATAGTTCTATTTTCAAGTGTTTGTTTATTCTCTGGTGGTAATGGCATATTTAAAAAAAATAATAATAAAAAAAGAAGCTTTTTAGGTTAGTTTAAAAGAAGATTTTAAAGTTAGTATTATAAGTTAAAATTAATTATTTACACTGTCTGTTTTGTTTATTTCTATTTTTACACAATGAAGAATTTTGTTTTAACTGTTACAGTTTGGAGATTAATATTTTCAAAGTAACAACAACATAATTTGTAATATTAATTAAATTTGCTAGTCCTGATTGCTTCATATAGATTTTAAAAACATCTTTCTATAAATAATTTAAAGTAAATAAAATCAGCTATTTTTATTCAAAGAAATGTTCTTTCAGAAAATAATTATGGCTTGCCTATAAAAATATTTCTAATAGGAGCATCTAAACAGAAATAGTGATTGAAGATAATGATTTTACAAATGGTGCATGCGACTATGTTTAATTTTCAATAAATTAATTGTTTTCATTTTTATTAATTTTATTAGTGTATATAAATTCTTCATTGCATTAGTCTAATACAAGAAATATTCATTTAAAAAAAATGGATATTTTATTTTTTAAAAATAAATTTTCTTGTTGTTCAGATAGGTATCTTGCAAAGTAACTAGCATACATTTTTTGTTTAAACAAAATACAAGTTCTAGACAAAACAAAAGGTACAATGAATGTCTTAGAAAATTAGCCACTGAACAACTTCTTTTGCATGCCACCAGGAAACACACAAGGGATGCCCATTCCCCCTAAGAATGATTGCACAAATTCCCTTCTCCCTGAGAAATCCCCATCTCATATTAAGAATGGTGCACAAAAAGTAGAATATAAAAATTTTAGTTTTGTTTTATTCTTTGTTCCTTGGTTTAGAAGTTCCCACTGTAAATATTCTAAAATGTATGAGTTTCTTAAAAAATTTTATAGTTGGGTAAATAGGCGCTCTTTTAAAAAATCCGAAACCTCGTAAAAATATCCTCCTAGAAATTTGTACGCAGGAACCTGCTGCCTTCTGAGATGAAGTTGATACCTGAAATAAACCATTTTATTCAG